CCCCAACCCCAAAACCCCAAAACCCCAAAACCCCTGCAGATTTTGAATATATTGAAGTGTTAATTATAAATATGGATCAAGAATCAGAAAAACACCTGTAAGCACAACAGTAATAAAATTATAGTATTCAGGATACTAAGCCAAGAAAGAAGAGTCACCACGTTGAAAGCTTCAGTATAGAGGACTCTCTTATCGTATCTGTGGAGGTAGATAGCGAGAAGGAAATTTTGAAAACAGATAGAGTCAAAGGGATACTTTTAATGTCAATTTCAACAATCTGTTTTGTGATGACTATCAGCTTGTGAAAGTACGCATATTTAATTAACGAAAATGTGAATGGACTTGACTATATATTGTTCAGAGGATCTATTCTTATTCTATTTGCAGGCTGAGATGTTCTTTGCAGAAGGGTTAATGTGTTTCGTTTTCCTCAAGAAGTGTACGCATCAGTTATTCTCAGGTTCTTTACTGGAGCTATAGGAATGGCACTCTACTTTTATGCAATAAAGTTCTTACCCATGAGCCAAGGGAGTGTTATACTGTGCATTAATCCATTGATCTCTGCTGTTCTTGCTTATCTGTTTTTAAAGGAAGTATTAGCATGCAGAGACATCCTTTGTCTCCTCGGTGCTTTTGGAGGTTGAGTCCTCGTAAATATATCCAGGATTGGTGAAGAAGGAGTCAGTCCTAGCGAAAATCATTATTTTATAGGGATATGCCTTTGCTTTATATCATTACTATTCAGGTCAACAACACCTGTGACTGTAAGGCAGATGTCAAAGTATGTTCATTCTATTTTCTCGCCGTTTTATTTCTCACTTGGCATGTTTTGTCATGCAATGTTTCTTTTGATATTCTGCAGAAAGCATCTACACTTCGAACATTATGATACTACTACTGTTTTGCTATTCACTGGAAGCACTATAGCTAACTATGGAGCTCAAAGTATCATGAGTGTTGCATATAGCTACGAAAAGGCAACTGTTCTAGCTCCTTTTACCTATATTATTACCTGTGGGCTTCTCCTAATCGATTGAGTATTCTTTGGATATGATTTTAGCCTTTTATACTTCGTGGGATTTTGAATCATCTTGTTTTGAGTGATGACACCATTATTGATAAAGATCAACAAGGAATAAGTTTGTAAACGATATTTCAATTTTGTTTCCAAGTTAGGGGTTTTGGGGTTTTGGGGTTTTGGGG